CCTCCTTTCCTCCTCCTCCTCCTCCTCCTCCTCCTCCTCCTCCTCCAGGCGCTGTCGTCGGGCTCCGGGCCCCTGGCCCTCACAGATCGATCCAGCCTGGAAGAGTGGCGCAGGAAAAGGGGTGGTCCAGTGCTGCGGCCGAGTGTTTTGATCCGATGTCTGTTTGTTCGCTCCGTCGGCTCTCTGGGCCCGTCGCTCTCGCTCTCTGCCGGCGGCGCGCCCTTGAAAAAAAACCAGAGGGGGCGGGCCCTCTCAAAAGGCTCGGGAGGCCCTCGGGCCTTCTGCGAGGCGCTCTGAGCCTCCGAAGGCGGCGACGGCCTCTCAAAACCGCGAGGGCTCCTGAGAAACCCCGCCGCCGTCTGAGAAGGCCTGATCTTTCTGACTGCCCCGCCCCCGGCACGCCGCCGAGGAGGGGTGCCCAGATGGGCGACAAGAAGGAGCGGGGCTGACGCGCGATGCCGCGGCGACCTTACGCGGTAGCTTGCGCGGGCCGCCAGCGCGGCACGGCACCTCGGAAGCGCGGGCACTCACGCTCGACCTCCTGCGAGCAGCTGGCGCGCGACTGTCCGCGCCAATCGAACTGATTTCTCTGCAGAAACCCCGACGTCGTGATTTTCCGATGACGTCGACCTCCAGAGGTCAGGACCCTGTCCCCGGGACCGGTTTTTCTTTCCGAACGGTTTTTGATACTGCCGGGCCCGGTAAGGGCCCCCAGGGACCGAAAATAACGAAAAACCTCTCGTCGTGATTTGCGCACGACGCGAGGAAGTCTGGGCTCGATTCCCCCGACGCCTTCTGCAAGCCGTTCCACACCATGCTCCGGTGTAGCGCCAGGTGTGGGGGCTGGGCCCTTTGTGGGCCCCGTTTTTCACAGTTTCCCAAAAAAGTGTCCCTTGAAAGTGGAAACGGCAGAAAGGTGGCAACCGGAGGCGGGAAAAAAAACTGCTCCAGGATTGGAACCGGAGCCGGAACCAGTCAAAAAACGGCGACGGAACCGGCAAAAAAACGGCGTCGGAACCGGCCAAAAAACGGCAGAACGGAACCGGTAAAAACACGGCCCTGTCGTTTCCAGGGCCCACTAAGGGCTGGGCCCCCGAAGGGTCGGTGGCTTCTCGTGGCCGCCTTCAGTGGGCCGGGGCCCCCGCAAGCGGCGGCCTCTCGCGGTCACCCCCCGTAGCTTCCCATCGTCTGGGGGGTTGCTACGGGTGCCCCTGGCCAAAGGTGCCCCCAGCTTGTCGCTCAGTTGTGGACCCCATGGGAGCATCCGGACCTCGTGGGGGGTGCTTTGGAGGCCGTGGGGGCCGAAAGAACCCATTGGATATTGGCTGGAACCCGTCATGGCCCTTGTGAGTCAAGCCCCAGACGAAACCGACGATGGCGACCAGGGCCCCGAGAGCGCCTCCGAGCCAGCCTCCAAGTGGACCCCCATCCGTCTAAGGAAGCGCCATGTTGCGCACTATTGTTGGTGGAGGCTTCAGGGCACCTGGCCGATTCTATCGACATGGGTATGCGACTGCAGATTGCTGCCTTCCGGCGCTAACGATGTTTGCGCACCGTGCCATATCGTTTGGGGTTGCCCAGGTCGCGAACAGCAGAGGCTCGCCAATCTAGGTGATTCTGATATGCGAGGTTCCCCACCAAGGTCTCACGGATCCCAGTTTGGGACGCGAGGACTGGCCTCGCACAAGCTTGAATGATGTACACTGCAACTTCATAACAGTGCACATATGTGAAAATGTTTCCTTTCTTCCTCCTCTCCCTCTCTCCTCCCTGCAAGTCTTCTCTCCTCTGCCTCTACCTCCTCTTCCTCCTATACCTTCGCCCTCCCTCAACCTCCCCCTCTGGCTCCTCACCTCCTCTACCTCCTCGTCCTGCCCTGAGTTCCCCGGGGGCGCGCTGCTGGCGCTTTCGGCCGGCCTCCTTCCGCGGCGCTCCTCCAGGATCGCCTTGCGTATGGCGACGGCCTGCCACAGCAGGCCGGCGCCCACGTCTTTCCTGCCTTTCAGGCCAGTCGGCCAGAGGAGGCGCCGATGCAGCGCATCCTGCGGCCGGCCTACGGGCCTGATCTCCGCCTCGCAGCGCCAAACCACGCGCTCGAAGTCCAGCGCCTCGTTCCTCCCACAGCGGGGGCAAGGCTCCTGCACTGCTGCCCGCCCTTCTCGTCGTTGTCCTTCTCCTCCTCCTCCTCCTCCTCCTCCTCCTCCTCCTCCTCCTCCTCATAATCATCATCATCATCATCATCATCATCATCATCATCATCATCATCATCATCATCATCATCATCATCATCATCATCATCATCATCATCATCATCCATCATCATCATCATCATCATCATCATCATCATCATCATCATCATCATCATCATCATCATCATCATCATCATCATCATCATCATCATCCATCATCATCATCATCATCATCATCATCATCATCATCATCATCTCTCCTCTCTGCCCTTCGCCGCCTGCAGGTGCGCCGGCGAGACGAAGGCTCCAGACATCACGCTGGCCGCGTGCGTGCTGCCCTCTGCCAGAAGCCTCGCGGCTTTGCAGCGCCGCTCGTCGTACTGCTCGAACCGGCACAGAGACGAGTCGATGCGGCTCTGCCCCCGCCACCTCCCGAATAGGTTCGCGCGCCAGCCTTCCCGGAGCACGTGCTCGAGGCGTCCTTTGCGCTCAGACCAGTGCCCGCTGCCCTTGCGCAGGCTGAGAATGACGCCCGTGACTGGGTGCCTCCATTCCCACTCGGCGCATTCCTGCCAGCCGCAGCCCTGCAGGAGAGCGTGGATCCGGCCAGAGCATCCCTCCTGCCTCCTCCAGGTCCCCAGCGTGGCCCGCCGTTGGTCCTTGCGGAGGGTGCGCCACGCTGCCATGAAGGCAGTCGTCAGCAGGCGGCACCTGACACTGAGCCGGTGGCCGCGGAAGATGGCCCGGAGGTGGGGGCTCCCTGCTTTGGGCTCCTGCCTCGCCCTCACGATCGCCGCCTGTAGCTGCGTCTCGTCCCTCTTGTTCATCTGCCTGTCGATCCAGCCGTACTCGGCGACTGCCAGCGCCTTGCTTGCCATCGTCGCCTCCTTCATCCTTCTGCAGACCGGCAGACTCGCACTCTTTTCGAGCATCACCTTGGCCCTCCTCAGCCTCGTCTCCTCCTTCCTGGTATACTTTTTTCCTGTTCCGCCTTGGCGGCCGGTCCCCTTGCAGAAGCCCACCCCGAGGATCTCTGGAGCGTCCGTCACCGTGGTGTCCGGCGCGCCTGTTTTTAGCAGCTGTTTCCTGCCCGCGGCCGTCCAGTGGGCGTGCTGAGACTTCGCCTCGTTCTCCTTGAGGCCCAAGACGAGCGACCACTTCCTCCACTCCTCACCAACTGCCAGCAGCTCATGCGCAGTGCTGGGCTTCCACGACCTGTCGTCCACGAAGCAGGAGAGCTCCGCCCCAGGGAAGCGCGCCACGATGGCGGTGATCGGCAGGTGTAGGACCGCCACCATAGCTATCATGGACCACGGGTCGCCCTGGGGCAGCGAGGTGCCCACCTCCTCCGGCTGCCTGAGTGTGACTCCTTGGTATTGCAAGTACCGGAGCTGTCCGGTCCACACCTGTTCCAGGATAGCGGCGACCGCGCGCGGGCACCCGAGCTTCCTTCCTCAACACCGCGACTGCCAGTTTGGGGTCGGTCTGGTCGAAAGCCAACGTGTAGTCGTAGGACGCGATGAAGTCACCCTGGTGGCACGAGTCGATGAGGCGCATGAGCGGCGTGTACACCTCTCCGGCCGTGCGTCCTCCAACTGCCTCCTCCCTCCACCATTTCCTCTGCCACGTTTGGGCGTCGGGGGACCGCAGCAGCACGCTGCCGAGCAGGCGCCACCAGCAGCTCAAGATGGTGATGGGTCGCAGCGCCGCCTGCACAGCTATGCTCCCGTCCTTCTTTCTCCTCCCTTTGCCCTCCTTCGGGAGCATTACTTGCCGTGCCTTGCGCCACTCTGTGGGCGCGCAACCCTGGTCCAGCATAAAACTGAAGACGTCAGCAAGGTGGTGGACCACCGCAGGGCAGTAGAGCGAAGCGAGCTCATCTCCGTGCCAGCCGTCAGCTCCAGGAGCGGACCCCCGTAGCCTGCCCATGGCGCCCCGCAGCTCCATGGGACACACGGGTCGCCAGATCTCCTCCGACGCAGGCGGCAGCGTGTCCTCGACCCGTTGCTGCCATTCCTCCTGCGGCGCAAGCTCGCGCCCCCAGACTTTCCTCCAGTGCCGCGCCAGCAGTGCAAGCGCTTCCTGCTCCGTGGCGCTTTCTTCCCTGGCCTCGTCCTCCTCGTTCCTCGTCCTCCCTTCCTGCCCCTCGCCCTTGGCCTCCTCCTCCTTCCCCTCTGCGTGCACGCCCGTCGGTGGAATCGTGCGGCCGCCTTCCACTCAGGCGCAGCATGCCCGGAGCGACCCTCGCAGACGGTTGCGCCACCTGTCGATGCGGCCCTGTCTCCGCTGCTTCCGGAGCTCCGCCAACTTCGCCTCGACCTCTTTCAACGTCGCCAGCCGATGCTTCGTCAGCCCTTCGCGGATTCTCTGTTCGAGCATTCGACCCTCGGCGCTCTCCTCGCGGCCTTTCCTCCGCAGCCACTGCATGTGCCACATCCGCCCGCGCAGGTTGTCAAGCTGCTGGATGCGCGCCGACGTGCGCGGGTCGTCACATTCCCCGAACCTGTGCTCCTGGTGCCGAAACGTCTGCGTGTTCTTCCTGATGCCCCATCCTTGGATGCTTTCCGCCTCGTTTCCCGCCTCCTCCATGGCCCTCCTCATCGTGCTCCTGACGAAGTGCTCGAGATAGAGAGGCGTTTGCTTCCACACGTCGTCCACCTGTTTCTGCATGGCGTCCATGTCCCGGGGCTCCTCCATAACTGGGAGGCTCGGCGGAACCATGGTCGCATAGACTTCCCGCTGCAGCTGACACCATCGCTCTGGTTTCACGTGTCCCGGGCAGCCCAAATTGGCTGACCTGCCCACAATGCAATCCGGCTCACGCACGCCCCTGTCGCCCCGGACCACCTGCAGCTGGGCAGCGACAGCCCGGTGGTCCTTGAACGAAATGTCCTCCAACGCCGGCTGGTCACAGCACGTCGGGTGCGAGGCTATGTAATAGTCGATGCACCTGCGCCCCTCCCAGCGCGTCGGAACGCAGCCTCCTCTGTCATCCAGCGCCGTCCGGAGACACGCTCATTCCTCTCAGAGCAGATCCCACAGCAGATTCTCCCCGGGTTCGTCGTTGAAGTCGCCCGCAACGCACCAGGTGTGCTTACGGCTCAGCGTCTCCAGCAGCCCCAACACGAACGACATAGCCTCGTCCCTGGCCTTGCCGGGAGGCTGGTAGAGGTTGACCGTGATCAGGTCCTCGACCCGCGCCGCCACCGCTTGCGCGTCCTCGCCCACCAGGTGGTCCAGCTGCCGGGAGCGCAGCGCCTTGGACACCAACGTGCAAGCCCCACCAGTGGGTCTGCCCGCCTGGTGGGGCGCCGTTGATTGGGCCACGGCGCCTCCCGAAAAGTAGTTCCTGTAGCCGAACTTGCGTGCGCGGGCCTCGAATGCGGCGCAATCCTGGTCCGTGAGCCCCACCTCCTGCAAGAATGCAATGTCTATTTCTGCCTGGCTCGCCGCCTCCAGCGCCTGCCACGATTTTCTCCCCCAGCCCTACGTTGACCGTCCACGTCGTGGCCCACGGCTGCCCCTTCTTTGACGCAGGGCCCGGGTGCGGCTCCACGTCCCCATCCTCTTCAAGGTTTGAAACCCACCCTCCAGCTACCGGCGGGGGGCGCACTGCGGTAGCCGTGCCCCCCCAGCACCTTCAGGATCGGGGCGCCTTGCAACCCCGCCCTGGCCTGCTCGGTAGCCTCTGCCTCTTCCTCTTCTCTGGTGCTTCCTATTGCGGTGGCCTCCTCAGCGTGTTCGCTGGTGCCACGGCGTCCTCCTGTCTTCTCGCAGGTGGCTCAGCCTCCTCCTTCTTCCTGTGTCTCCTCGCGGGTCCTCTGATCTCCTCCTGTCTCCTCTGCCTCCTCTTACTTCCTCCTGCCTCTGCACTGGTGCTCGGAACCTCCTCTCTTTCCCTCTGCCTCCGCGCCGGCGCTCTGGCCTACTCCAGGTCCTCCTCATGCTTTGCCGGCGCCTTCCTCCTGTGTCTCCTCGCGGGTCCTCTGATCTCCTCCTGTCTCCTCTGCCTCCTCTTACTTCCTCCTGCGTCCGCACCGGCGCTCCGGCCTCCTCCTGGCCCTCCTCATGCTTTGCCGGCGCCCTGCAACCTTTGGCCGCCTCCTTCTTTCGTGATTGCCTGGGATTCCAATGCTTCCGCCTGTACTTGATCCTGTGCGCCAGTGCTTGGGCCCGCAGGTGGCTCGTGCGTTCCCTGTACTCTTCGGCGCCCTCACCGGGACGTTTCTTGTAGGGTGCATACGTGTGCGCAACCGGGCACCAGTCATCGACCAAGAAGATCAAAAACTCCCTGTCCCACTCCAGCTTCCTCAAAGTCTCCTCCTCCTCCTCCCCAGCCGTCCGCGCTTCGAGCCACCATTCCCGCAGCTGCGAGCGCGCGCTGCTGTCCGTGAGCGTGCAGTGGCGGTTCTGCTCGCATGAAAGCCCATGCCGGAGCTGCTTGGAGGCCACGCTGGCGCCCGCCACCGCGAACAGGCACCTCTTGCATCTGAACTGCGTCATGGTCACGCGAGTGCCGTCCTTCCTGTACTCCACTTGTTCGGCGTGGCCCCGGTACGGCAGCGCCACGAGGGCGTGTTCGGGGAACCGCTCCTGCTGCACCGCCAGGTTCCGCTTCGTGACCAATTTCCTGCAAAACTCCTCAAACGACACGTCGTCGTGACACTTCTGCCAATGGCTCCTCCTGCTCAGCCTCCCCTGCGCCCGCCCCGAGGTGGGGAGTCCCGCGTCACACAGTCCGCATGTCCACTCCCTCTGCGCCGGAGGGAGTTCCGTCGTGGCCTCGATGAGGATCGGCGGCGGCGCCCGGTTCCTCAGCAGCGCCACCGCTTCCTCAGGATGCGCCTTCCGTAGGTGCGTGGCTTTCCTGGCATATACACCTTTCCACTTGGGGGCTTCGGCGATCCATGGGACCGCGATGCCAATAGGGCAGCGCCAGCGCGGGAGACGTCCTGCGGGCGGGGGCGCGGTCCCAGCTGCCTGTCCCTCCTTTTCCCGCTCCTCCTCCTCCTCCTCCTCCTCCTCCTCCTCCTCCTCCTCCTCCATTCCTCGGAGCTCCTCCACCCCATCCGCAATGGTGGTGCTGATCCCTTTGGGTACCGGCCGATCCTCGGCACCAGTAGGGAGGGCGAGCGGCAGGCTGGCAGTTCATGGCGTGGCTGGCATCCAGCCTTCCCTCGACGAGGCAGCTGCGGCGGCTGCTGCGGCAGCGGCTGCTGCTGGTGCGGCGGCTGCTGCTGTCCCTCCTTCTCCTCCTCCTCCTTTTCCTCCTCGGGGCTGCCTCCGACAGGTCAAGTTGCCATCCTCGGCTGCCTCCTCAAGCACCCCTTCCTCACTCCTCGTCCTCGGCCTCTGCTTTTCCCTCAACCTCCTCCTCACTCCCTCTGGGTTCCGCTGTGTCCAACTTGCGGTACTGGCCGGAGCGGAGGGCCGACCGGCAGTGCCAGGAGTGGCCGGCATCAATCGCTTCACCTCTGGGGAGCTGCTGCCTCCTTTCCTCTCGTCCTGCTCCTGCTCCCGCTTTGCCTCGCAGTCCTGCTGCCCGGCCGTCGCCATGCTGACAGGGGGTCCCTGGCATCCCTGCCGCTGCTGCCCCTCCCTCGGGGGGGCCAGCGCTGGTCTCCGTCGCCCTGCCGCTCTGCGGGGTGGAAGGCATCCAGCTGCAGCCACGCAACGCGGACGAAGCCCTCTCCTGAAGGGGAGGGTCCCCCCACTCCTTGGGCACCTCGCCGTCCACGAGCAAGCCGTAGTAGTGTTTGTCTTTCATGCACACGGTAACTGGGGAGTGCTGCCTTGCTTTTTGGGCGATCTTGGCGTTGCAGGGCGGGATGGCCCAGCCTTTTTCCCACTTGCCGCTCTCCCACAAGAGCACCGTGATGTTCCTCTCCATCCGGTTGGCCATGGTTGCGAGCATGTACTCGTCGACCCACCGCGTAGGCCGCCCAATGGCCTCCAGCCACTCCTTGTACGTGTGGGGCACCGGCCCCCCCTCCATGTCGACCGTCGCCAACGGGTTCGCGGCCCAAGCATCTTTGAATACTTTCTTCCTCGCGACCTCACGGGCCACCGGAAATCGAAATTGAGCCGCCTCATCCTGAATCTTTCGCCGCATATCTTCTTGATTGCGTCCTTGCATGATCCCCCACACTCCACAGCAAGCACGGACTCCGCAGTCCCCACTGCCAGTGAGGTCCCACAGGGTCCCACCCATGGGATGGGTGTCGTCTCCTATCTTGGTTTTATTCTCCTGCGGCTTCGCTGCAGTGCCATCCTCCTTCCTCTTGCCTGCATCCTCTGTCTTTCTCTCCTCCTCTGCCTCCATTTTGCCTTCTCTGGCTTCCTCTTCCTCCTGCTTCTTGTCCTCATCCTTCCTCTGCTGGGCCCCTCTCGCCGCCTGCTGCTGTGACTCCTCGGCTTTGTTGAGCAGATCGCTGCGGATGCCTCCTCCGGCGTACTTGATGGACTGGGTCACCGGCGCCCGGTGCGTCTTCGCCAGGCGGGACACCGTGATGACCTTTGCCCCGGCAGCCGCCAGCGTGTACCCGATCCCTGTCGCCGCTCCTCCTGCTGGGGGCACGGTGGAAACCACCCACCCTCTCCTTCCTGCTGGATATCCTTTCACCTCTGCCTCCTCCCACCCTTGATCTTTGAGGAAGCGGGTGATTTCCGATGCTCCCCATTGCTTGGGCGCCCCGGACACCACGACCTCGATCTTCCGTTTGGGTGCAAGGTCCTCTCCTTGCGGTAGGCGCACTCCAAGTTGTGAGCGCCCTCCCATGCGGAAAGCAAGTCCTTCTCCTCTGTCTCCTCGGAGCGCTCTTTGCAGGTACTGCTTGGCTTCCTCCTCCTTGCTGGTAGCACCATTCGACCGTGGGCCGGGCACCTGAATTTCTGAGCCGCTCCACGAAGATGCCTCGCTGGCCCGAGGTGGCCAACACCGCAGGAACGGAGTCCTTTGGCACCTTGGCATAGCCCACGATGCTCACGGTCTCCTGGCTCTCAGACTTGTTCTGCGCGTTCCACCGGTAGGTGTGCAGAATGTTCTTATCCTTCGCGTACGTGAGGAAGATGCTTGCTGGCCTCTTCACTGCTGCTTCCCATGCCCTCTCCTCCATAAACTCCCTGACCATCATGACTCGGACCGCCTCAACCTCGACCTCTTGGACCGTCGATTTTTCTCCTAGCTCACCTCGTGCTGCCTGGGTGGGCTGTCCGAGGTCCGGGAGGCCGGCCTCGCTCACCAGTGGGGCCACTCGGAGCTTGGCCAACTTCGCTTGCCCGCCGAGCCCCAGGATCCTGAGCCACTTCTCCTCCTCTCCTTTCTGCGCTTCCTCCTCCTGCCCCTTTTGCCAGCCAAGGACAACGGCGATCTTTTCCGTCATGCCGTAGCTCTTCGCAAGCATCCTCATGGAGTCAACCTGCCCGGCACTGTGGGCCAAGATGAGCTTTGCCCTGGTGACCTCTGTCTTGCGCCCCTGCTCCATGAGTTTTTCCACCTGCGGCGCCGCGAGGGCCTGCTCTGGCGGCCAGTCTCCTGGCCAGAGCCGCAGATTGGGTCTACCTCGTGCCATTGTCTTCCACTCTCCTGTGCCTTCCTGCTGCGTCTTAAGCCGCTGCGCCCAGGACTGCTGAGGGGCGTCCGGGTCCTCGCGGCCGCCTCCTCCTTTCTGAATTCCTTTGCTTCCTCCTGCTTTCTCGCCTCCTTTGCCCTTTCCTCCTTTCCTTCCTCCTTCACGTGCCCCTCCCTTACCTGCAGCAGGGGCAGGCGGCGTAGGTCCCTTCAGCTCGGTTTCGCCACCTATGCTTCCCAGGGTGCCTTTCGTGGCCGCCTCCACGATCATCCTCAGCCTTTGGAGCAGAGTCCCCGTGTCGCCTGATCGTTGGACTCGCTCGACCACTGTCGTCAATGCGTTCAGCAAGTCGGACCCTTCCTTTCTCCTCCTCTGCCTTTCCCTCTTCCTCTGGCTGTTTTGGGAGTCCGGCTGCGCTTGCTGCCGCCCGCGCTTTGCATCCCCTCTTTGACTCCTGGTACTTTCCTCCTTCTTCCCTCCGCCGGCCTGACCTTGGACACTGTCGCTTTCAACTTCGCGGCTGAACCCTTGCAGAAGTGCCGCGAGCTGTTCCAGTAGTTGCTTCTCTGCCCTTTGCCGGGCAGTGACGGCGGATCCTTGAGCTCCACTTCGAAGCCTGTGGTCTGGAAGGCGTATTCCATCCTTTGGCTGGCTTTCTTCTGCCTCTGACTCCTCCGGCCCTCCCCTCAATTCACGAGCTGCCTTCCCAGCTCGTGCGCCCTTCAACCAAGACTTGTTCTTAGCTTTGCGGCGTAGCCCTTTCTTCCCTTCACGCTGTTCCCTCTGTCCCTCCTCCTGATGCTTCTCCGCCTCTTCATGCTTCCCTTCCTGATCTTTCCTCTGCTCCTCCTCATCCTGCTTTTCGGCCACTTCGTGCGCTCGCCCCGTCCC